AAGTGCCCTACAATATGCTTTACCGCTACTGAGAAAGCTAAATGGAGGCGGGAATGGCGATCGGCTTTGGTTGTCAAAGGGCTAGGGAGAAGAGTAGCATACGTACCACTTGCGAAACGTCTGAACTACCTGTGGGGACGGCATGGGGAGCTCCAAATCTCGGATATGGAAAACGGCTGTTACTTAGTTCGATTTCGAAATCAGAAGGATTATGATATTGCGACGATGGGGGGACCTTGGCTATTAGGTGACACGTACTTGACAGTTCACAGGTGGTTCAAGGGATTTAATCCATGGAAATCAACCGTGACATCAACAATGGTCTGGGTTCAACTACCGGAGTTACCCATTGAATTCATTAACAAAGAGGCTGTATTGTGTATAGCGGAGGCCATTGGACGACCGATAAGGGTGGATAGGGCTACGGAGCTCGGGGCTAGAGGGAAATATGGTAGAGTCTGTGTGGAAGTAGATCTGACAAGACCCCTCCTATCACAGTACAAGATTGAGGGGATAACCTATCTTATACAATATGAGGGGCTCGAAAAGGTGTGCACAAACTGTGGGAAGTATGGAAAATCAACGGTTGACTGCCAATGCTTGGAGAGAATGAACGAGAGCTCCGATGAGGGTGGAGAGGGGGTTAGGGAGGCTAGTACAGACCCAACGAAGGGGAGGACCTATGGGGAGTGGATGGTAGTGAAGAAGAAGGAATGGAAGTCGGGACGCAGGGAAGGAACGGTGTCTCGCAACATACAAACAACCGACAAGACAAACCGCTTCCATGCACTCCATGAAGTCCCTAGCGATGTTAATATTAATGATGAAATGGGTGAAGTAACTGATCGTGAAAATGGAATGGAAAAAATGACTAAAAGAGGAGAGGAGCTGTTGACTAAGGTGACACAAGGCGGGAAGGAGAATATAGGCGACAAACAAGTTGAGGGGGGGAGCAAAGAAGAGGAAGGGGCGAAGACCCAGAAGGAGAGCAGTGGTATGAAGAAGAGTAATAAAGAAGAACAACAAAGAGGGGAGGGCAGAACCATGAATCCCACAGGCGAGGTCTCACAAAATGTGGTGGGAGGTAGGAAGGAGCTGGGGAAATCAAGGGAGACATCCGGGAAGATTGTAAATTCAGGGAAGAGCCCGGGGGTGGTTGCTGGAGGGAAGAAGAACGTAACGGGGCCTAAGATGTCGACAAATGCTGAGGGTGCGGGGAACCGATCCCCTTCAGTTCCCAAATGAAGCTCTTAAGCTATAACTGTCGCGGTCTGGGAAGTACGCGAGCAGTGAGATCCCTCAAGTCGCTTTTGCGACAAACTTCCCCACAGGTCGTGTTTCTGATGGAGACGCGTCAACTGTGTGATGAAAATGAAGCAACAAGGATGGAGCTAGGATATAAGAATGGAAAAAGTTGGCCAACTGATGTGTCAAATGGCGGAAGGGCAGGAGGTGTGAGTATTTGGTGGAATGATGAGACACAAATTACGGTGATGTCAAAAACGCAACACCATATTGATGTCAAAGTAATCGATGAACTAACAGGTGAGTGGCGGTTCACGGGGGTGTATGGCTGGCCTGGCGGGAGGGAGAAGGTACGTACATGGGACTTGCTTCGTCAGCTCGCAGAGCAATGGACGGGTCCTTGGCTTTGCGGGGGTGATCTAAACCAGGTGCTATCGGACTTTGAGAAAAGGGGAGGGAATCTTCCGGATGAAGAAGAGATGAGGGCTTTCTCGGAGTGCTTAGTCGATGTGGGATTGCAGGATATGGGTTTCTCCGGGTATCCATATACTTGGGAGAACAGAAGGAGTAGGGGCGGCTTCATAGAAGAAAGGCTGGACCGGTTCCTTGCTAATGAGGGGTGGCGGGAAAGGTGGCCGAATGCTAGAGTTTCACACCTGGGCAACACTAGATCTGATCACCGCCCTATCTTATGCGAAACGCTAGGCGAGGAGGATGAGGAATTGAAGTGGGGGTGGTCATTTCGGTTCGAACCGCACTGGCTACGATACGATGGGTGCAAACAGGTGATTGAGGAAGTGTGGAGTTCTGGAGTGGGGGACATATACAATAAGATGGGGCAGGTGAGTACCAAGCTGGATAATTGGAGTCAAGTGGCTATTCCAAACTTCAGAAGGCAAAAGGCAAAAATACAAAGGGCACTGAAGGCGCTGGAAAGAGGGGAGCAAACAGATATTGTTATTGACCAGCGCAAGAAGCTCTTAGCTGAGCTCGACGATGTGGAATGTGATGAGGAAATCTTTTGGAAACAACGATCCCGTGCGGATTGGCTGAAGGACGGGGACAAGAACACGAACTTCTTCCACAGGAAATCATCAGCAAGAAGGAAACGTAACACCATAAGAAAGTTGAAAGATGAGGCGGGAAACTGGTGGGCAGGGCAGGAACGTGTTATGGCTTGCCTAATGAGCTACTTTGGCAATCTATTCACAGCTGGTGAACGACCCTCAGCGACACCAGTTTTGGATTCCATAGGTGGGCGGGTAACAGAAGCGGCAAATGAGGAGTTAGTGAGGGAAATGACCCGGGACGAGATTTTTGAGGCCCTAAATCAAATGGGGAGGAGGAAAGCCCCGGGAGCAGATGGATTGTCGGTCCTATTCTTCATTAAGTTCTGGAATATCGTTGGCGATGAGGTAACAGAAGCTTTAATGCAGATAGTTGATCGTGGAGAAATACCGGAAGGACTTAATCATACTTTGATTGCTCTAATCCCAAAAGTTAAGGAACCGATGATGGGAAAGGACTTCCGTCCAATAAGTTTATGCAACGTCCTATATAAGATTCTGGCGAAGGTACTAGCGAATCGTTTGAAAGTACTGCTGAACGAGATCATTTCCCCGGAACAGAGTGCCTTTGTCCCCGGACGCTTCATAGCAGATAACGTGATGACGGCGTTCGAGTGTTTTCATACTATGAAAGTCAAGTCGAAGAACAAGAAAGGATTCCTAGCAGCGAAAACGGATATGGCGAAAGCTTATGATCGCGTAGAATGGTGGTTTTTAGAAGGAGTAATGAGAAGAATGGGGTTCTCGGAGAGATGGATTAAGCTGATAATGATGTGTGTTCGCTCGGTCACGTACTCGATATTAGTTAATGGCCACAGATCGCCACAGTTTGCACCAAGCAGGGGATTACGGCAAGGAGACCCCCTATCCCCATATTTATTCTTTCTGGTGGCGGAAGGATTGAGCACATATATGGAGAAGGCGGTCCGGGAGAAGAAGATTCATGGGATATCGGTGGCTCGGGGAGCACCGGTGATCTCACACCTTTTTTTCGCTGACGATGCTATCTTTTTTGCCAGGGCCACAGTTCAGGAAAGCATGGAGCTGCGGAGAGTACTAAAGGATTACGAAATTGAATCAGGGCAACTTGTCAATCTGGACAAGTCCGAGGTGTCATTTGGTGGGAGTGTGAAGACTCATCAGCGACTAATGGTGAGTTCGGCGCTGGGAATGCGGGCGGTGGAGAAACACAACAAATATCTGGGTTTAGTCACCGAGGTTGGGAGATCGAAAAAGGCGCTGTTTACCTATCTAAAAGAAAGAGTAAGGAAGAAGCTTGCAGGATGGAAGGAGCGGGTGATGTCGGTGGCAGCCAGGGAAGTTCTCATTAAATCAGTGGCTCAAGCGCAGCTTACTTATACGATGTCGGTGTTCCGGGTCCCAGATGGTATAATCGATGACATACACGGTCTCATTACAAGATTTTGGTGGGGCCAGCGAGCGGAGGAGAAGCGTATTCCTTGGATTGCACGAGAAGAACTAATTCTACCAAAGGGCGAAGGCGGGATCGGTTTCCGAGACCTGCGAGGCTTCAACAAAGCTCTACTGGCACGGCAATTGTGGAGCATCCACAGCAGACCGGAATCTCTCATAGCAAGGGTGTTAAAGTACAAATATCATAAGCATGAAGATATCCTGGACGCTAGGGTGGGGTACCGGCCAAGCTACGTGTGGAGAAGCTTGATGAGTGCACAAGATTTTCTTGTTGATGGTTTGAGATGGCGCATAGGGAATGGAGCACGGGTACGAGTATGGGGTGATCGGTGGGTGCCTTCAACACCGGGGAATATCATTCAGTCGCCGCCAATGGGGATACCGGTGGACTCGGTGGTAAGAGAGCTGATCGATGAGGAGTATGAACAGTGGGACAGGGATCTCCTTGAAAGTTGTTTTCCAACGACGATGGTGGAAGCCATTTCCCGTATTCCGCTGCGTGGCTCCCATGAACAAGACCAGCTGATCTGGGCGGATAGCAAAAATGGGAATTATACGGCTCGAGAGGGTTATCGGCGATGGCTGAAGGAAACCCGATTGGAGAAAGGACATGTGGCGACGGGAGACCCAACGATGTGGAAGAAGATGTGGGGAATGATGGTGCCGCCGAAAGTGAAGCACTTTATGTGGCGCTTTGCTAGGGACTCTCTTGCTACGGGGGACCATGTGGTGAGGCGTAATGAAATGAGGGGAGACAAATGCCCTTTCTGTGATGGCCAGGAGACTCAGGTACATGCTTTCGATCAGTGTGCATGGGTTAGTGGTTTATGGAGGAAATCGCAGGTGGCTCATTGTTTTGAAATGAGAGGGGAGGCACAAAGCATGGAGTGGGTATTGAAAGTGGCGACGACGGTATCGGACAAGGAGTTTGAGGACTGGAGTATGCTGATGTGGATGCTATGGAAGGAGCGGAACGCCCATATGTTTAACGGGCCGAAGCTAGCAGAGGAGGATATTGTTCCACGAGCAGCAGCGTTGCTGGATGAATATAGATCACAACAGATTGCCTTACACCCACCGCAGCAGAGTACAGCGGGGAGGAATTGGACGAAGCCGAGTACGGGGAAGATCAAGCTGAATACGGATGCTGGAGTGTGAGAGGATGGATGCGGGCTAGGAGTGGTGGTAAGAGATGCTCAAGGCAGATTCCTAATGGCGGCGGCAAAGAGGGTGAGCGGAGAACAAAACCCGGAAATGGGTGAAGCTCTGGCGGCCGAATTAGGACTGCAGCTTGTGCGACAACACCAGCTTGGTGTGCCCATTCTCGAGATGGATTGTGAGACGATCCGGAAGCGTATCTGTGATGCGAACAGTGACCAGACAGAGCTTGGAGTGATATGCAGAAATATTAAGAGGCTTCTTCAGGAACTGGGTGATGGAGGTTGCAGACATGTATACCGAACGGCAAACGCGGCAGCACATATCATGGCACATACCAGGACAAGATGGAATGAAACTGAAATTTGGTTTGATAGGCCACCTATGAATGTAATCGACCAGCTGGAGCTGGACTCTGTAATGGCTACTCTTTCTTAATATAGCCTAGCGCAGATTTCCGTCAAAAAAAAAAAACACAGAATTGGGTAGCGCAATTGACGGAATTCGACTGGTAAGGACTCTTGGTGAAGGAGTCGGATCAGTGGCGGGATTTCTACCAGCGGCAACGAATTGAAGGAGTTCGTTAGAGGACCCGATAGCGACGGCAGCGGAGTGCTCGTGTGAGCAAAATTACCGCCGGAAGGAGGATATGGAGTGGTGGAGAAATAACGGTTATAAGAAAGTTCTTACCGTAGGGAATATGAGACTTTTCCAATTGCACATATAGAAGATAGAACGGCAAGGTAAGGGTGGAGGAAGGGGAGAAGGAACCGCCGTCGTGGTGGGTTATTGGGATTTTTCCCGGAAGTAAACAAACGGTGGAACCGGCGTCAACAAATAGAAGAAAGGGTTGCTGACGTGGATAGCTTCGGGTTTCAGTATGGATTACGTGGCATGGGGCCAAATCTAAAAGGCCTTTAATAATTTTATAGATAGATAGATATATGAGGAAATGAAAATGGGAAATGAAAAAACCTAAAAGAAAGACACGTGGGAGAATTTAATGCTAATTTAATAATGTGGCACAGCCCTCCCACGTGAGGGCGTATGTAGTAACTAGTAACCTGAAAGGCGCCTTGTTGTGACTTGTGGTCCATCCGTAGCGTCCGACGGCGTCGCTTTCGACAATTAACTTCAATTGGTATTTGGTATGTAGTATTAGGGTTGCAAATGAGTCAACTTGCTTTGGCAAAAAATTTGTTTTATATGCAGCATATCATTAATGAGTCAACTTTGAGCTAAGTCAGCTTGTAAGGCTCGCAAGTCAACTCGATTCGGTGGCTTGTTAAGCTCAATTTGTTGTGAATTATGAGCTGGCTCAACAATAGGACTACGAGGAGCCTCGATTAGCTACTTATGAGTGAATTATTAGTTAACAATTTGTTGATAATCATAAATATATAAATATAAATTGTTTTAAACATAAATAAATATATAAATAATAGTAAAGTTAACAATTTAATTCATTAAATACATATATTATACGTGTTATACGAGTTTCATACGTGTTTAGTACGGGAGCTATCAAATAAACGAAAAGAACTGAAATGGCTCGAACAATAATACGGATATGAAAGTTTTAAACGGATAAAATACATACGGGTACATATACGTGTATTAAACAGAGTATTTACTGACTATACCACATCGGATATACAAGGGAAGAAACCCTTGTATATAATTGTCTACCAAGCTCATTAGCACGAGACCTTTTGGGGAGGACACGTAAAAGTAAATCCATGCGGGTTTGGCCCAAAGCAGACAATATCGTACTAATGGAGCGACCCGATTTCGACATAACTTTATATAAACAATTAAATTTGTGAACTACATGATATTATGTATGAGCCAATCTCCGGAGCTCATTGATGAGCCGAGCTCGAGTAGAACTCTTGAGCTCATTATTTCGCCAAGCTCGAGATCGGGCTCGAGTCCAAAATGAGCCATGATTTTAGTAAATTAGTCGAGTTTAAACTCGACTCATTTAATAACAAGCTGAGTTCAAGTTATGTCAAAACTCGACTCCACTCGAATCATTTACAGTCTCATCCAGTATAATCTAAGCTGATGTGTCCATCAACACCGAGAATTTTTTTTTTTTGAAAGATATGATGTAATAACACGTTGACTTAATGCGCACATCCTAGTCACATGGTGGCCAACTTGTATGCTTTTGACGGGTGTTCCAATGTATGGACCATTTAGCTATATTAATTATATGTATACTATTTGTTATGGGACAATCCAAGTACCACATCGGTAATATAAGGGAATAAACTCTTGTATATTGGTGTCCACCTAACCCAATTAGTACGAGGTCTTTTCGGGAGGACACCCAAGAGTAAAACTGTGCGGACTTGGCCCAAAGCGGACAATATCGTACTAATTGAGCACCCCCCCCGGATTATGATAAATGGTATCAGAGCCTGGTTTGGCGAATCCGGCGGGGTGGACGTTAGTTTGGTGGACCCTCATTCGGTGACCTCGGGATTTGAGATCTGCGTCTGGTTTGGTGGATCTATGAGAGATCCACGTTTGAGCTACATCTGGTTTGACGGATCAAGGGAGGTCCGCGTCTGTCTGGTGGATCTAGGAGAGATCCACGTCTGTTTGGCGGATCAAAGAGAGTTTCGCGTCTGGGAAAATCCTTGTACCGAGAAGCCCATCGATACAAGGTGTCTGGCGGATCAAAATAATAGCTGAGAAGAGGACACGAAGTTCGTGGACCTTGTCTTGAGGGGGGGGATTGTTATGGGACAATCCAAGTACCACATCGGTAATACAAGGGAATGAACCCTTGTATATTAGTGTCCACCTAGCCCAATTAGTACGAGGCCTTTTGGGGAGGACACCCAAGGGTAAAATCGTGCGGGCTTGGCCGAAAGCGGACAATATCGTACTAATTGAGCACCCCGGTATGACAAGTGGTATCAGAGCCTGGTTCGGTGGATCCGGCGCGGTGGATGTTAGTTTGGTAGACCCTCATTCGGTGACCTCAGGATTTGAGATCTGCGTTTGTCTGGCGGGTCAAAGGTGATTCGCGTCTGTTTGGTGGATCCAGGAGAGATCTTCGTTTGGGTTTGGCGGATCAAAGAGAGTTCCGTGTTTGGGAAAATCCTTGTAACGAGAAGCCCATCGATACAAGGTGTCTGGCAGATCAAGATAATCGCTAAGGTGAGGACACGAGGTTCGTGGTCCTTGTCTTGAGGGGAGGATTATTATTGGACTATCCAAGTACCACATCGGTAATACAAGGGAAGGAACCCTTGTATATTAGTGTCCACCTAGCCCAATTAGTACGAGTCCTTTTTGGGAGGACACCCAAAAGTAAATCCGTGCGGGCTTGGCCCAAAGCGGACAATATCGTACTAATGGGCTACCCAGTTATGACAAGTGGTATCAGAGCCTGGTTCGACGGATCCGGGGCGGTGGACGTCAGTTTGGTAGACCTTCATTCGGTGACCTCAGGATTTGAGATCTGCGTTTGTCTGGTGGGTCAAAGTTGATTTGCGTCTATTTGGTGGATCCAGGAGAGATCCACGTTTGGGATTGGCGGATCAAAGAGAGTTCCGCGTTTGGGAAAATCTTTGTAACGAGAAGCCCATCAATACAAGGTGTCTGGCAGATCAAGATAATCGATGAGGTGAGGACACGAGGTTCGTGGTTCTTATCTTGAGAGGAGGATTGTTATGGGACAATCCAAGTACCACATCGGAAATACAAGGGAAGGAACCCTTGTATATATAAGTGTCCACCTATCCCAATTAGTACGAGTTCTTTTGGGGAGGACACCCAAAAGTAAATCCGTGCGGGCTTGGCCCAAAGCGGACAATATCGTACTAATGGGCTACCCAGTTATGACACCATTTAATATTAAGTCTGCTACTATGAGTCAAATATAGATCATCTGTCATCATTGAAAAAATCACGATAGTACAAAATATAGTGAAATTGTTTTCTCCTATCCATGAAAATAATTAACACACATCATTTCCAGAGGCCAAAGGTGGATAGTTGGCATTTCCAAACGCAAAAGTTACGCAAGGTATGTTCCCTTCTATTGCTACAACGAAATCTCGATCGGGGGCTGCAGAATTAAACCTTTTGGGGAAGGGAAAAGAAATGGTTGATTTCATCGATGAGAATGTTGGTATCGCAGTAGTGGCAGCTCTTGGATTCACTCCGGCATTGAAAATAGTCAAAATTCATTGTGAGAATTCACAAACTACAAATGACATATTTGCTTGTCGATGCATATAATAAATCCGATTTCGAGCTATGTATCTGATGTTTTTTTCGAACTGTATGTGGTCTTGTTTACATTCCACCTTATGTAAATTAATATTAGTGTAAAGATAAACCTTAGAGAAAAGTAAGAGATAAGTTAGAGGAATTTGTGCAAATAAGAGATTTGATCAATTACTGAAAAAATAAATAAGAAATTGATCTGGTGATTTTATTGATGGTTTTCAATCTGGAGAGTAAAAATCCGAATCCTTTAAGTAATATCTAATAATAAAAATAAATTGATATCACCTTCGTAAAAAAAATCTAGATGAATTTGTATTGTACAACAGAGTTTCGATCTTTGAAGAATTAGGAAGTCGTTGAACCGTTGATTTGAACATCGATGCATTCAAACTCGAAAATTCTTATCATATTATTATATATATTGTGTTTTGGGTATAGGCAAAATGGTCAATTTTGTTAACGTTCCAATTCCTTTTATTATTACACTTCTTTCTACATACTCTGCTAAATTCATTCATGTGCATCCCCCATTTTCAATGGCTTGCTTAAAGAAAAGAACCAAGGGGTCATTTGGATGCAGGTTTTGGGTGTGGGATTTGGGCACAATCCTACATAGTGTGGGATTTTAATTAAAATCACTCATTTGGAAAGCAATTATATGATAAGAGATTTTAAATATTAGAGATTTCAGAAACCCACAATTGTGGGATTGTGAAATAGCTGATGGTGATCAGCTATTTTAAAATCCCACACAAATTCCACAAATTAAAAACCTGGGTTTTTAAACCAGTGATTTGAGCCAAAATCCCACAAATTAAAAACCTGGATCCAAATGACCCGCAAAGGCCAATTTCCCCTAAGCTTTTATCAATTAATTAGTTAGTTTCTTTTGCCTTTCTATTTGGTCCATAAAATAAGGAAATCACAGGAGGGCATTTTGGGCAAGCCAAGATTTTCACAAATACCAAATCATTAAGGGTTCGTTTGGATTAGTAATTTTAATAACAAGAAATTTGGGTCTAAATCTCTCATTTAAAATACTGGAAAATTTGTATGAGGGATTTGACTGAAATAACTCATTTGGATTAAAACGCAGAATTTTAATCTAAAATACCAAATTACTTTAGTGCCCCATCTTCTACTACCTCTTCGTCTTCTTCCTCTGTTCATTTTTGGACCAAACCCAG